TCAAATTCAGACAGATTGCACACATGTTTAAGTTGTGTATTCAACTTTAGACATATTGCACACATGTTTAAGTTGTGCACCTGTAATTGTTTTAGGAAATTACTACTTTTTTTTATATTTGGAAACTACATCATTTTTCAGCAAAATTTATAACAAACACTACCTTTTTTGACGAGCCTGCAACATTGATGTCGTGAAAGCGAGACATAGCGGTCCTAGATTCCTTCGGCAACGGCGTCAACATTTAGGTTCAGTCTGTGGCTAAAGTTTTTTTTATACATTAATAACTTTGTCAAACCTTCATGGAATATTAGGAAATTTGGACAGAAGCTTGTTTATGACCAAAATACAGTATCCAGAGCAAAATTTTGAAAATATTTAATTTTGTTTTTTCGTATTTTACTGATAAATGGACTTAGTTTTTTTTACAAATAAAGTTTCAGATTCAGTCTGAGGTTGAAGTTTTTCGGTCATCAATAACTTTGTCAAACCATCAAGGAATTTTATGAAATTTGGACAGAAGCTTTATAATGACCAAAATAGAGTATCCAGAACAAAATTTGGAAAATACTTATTTTCATTTTCCTGTATATTACTGATAAATGGACTTAGTTTTTATATGCCCGTTTACGGGACGTATTATGGTATACCGTTGTCCGTCTGTCCCTCGTCAACTTGTCGGACAATAACTCAAAAATGCTTTAACCAATTTGCATGAAACTTTGGTGAATTGTTTATATCTATTGACGTTTTTTATAAATTTTAGATTTTATGTTTCCGAGTTATGGGGTTTTATTCATTAAAAAAGGGGGATTTTCCAGTTTTCGGACAATAGCTCAAAAACACTTTCACCAATTTGCAAGAAACTTTTGTCAATTGTTTATATCTATTGTCATTAGCTCCCTTTCGATTTTTATAAATTTTAGATTTTATGTTTCCGAGTTGTAGGGTTTTATTCATTAAAAAAAGGGGGATTTTCCTGTTTTCTGACAATATCTCATAAATGCTTTGAGCAGTTTTCATGAAACTTTGGTGAATTGTTTATATCTATTGAGATAAGCTACCTTTTCGATTTTTATAAATTTTAGATTTTACGTTTCCGAGTTATGGGATTTTATTCATAAAAAAGGGGAGATTTTCCAGTTTTCGAACATTATCTTTAAAGTGCTTTGAGCAGTTTTCATGAAACTTTGGTGACTGGTTTATATCTATTAAGATAACCTCCTTTTAGTTTTTCATAAATTTCTGATATGACATTGAGAAGTTATTGAACTTTATTCTTTGAAAAAGGTATCATGCGCAGCTGTTTATTTTTATAGTTGCCAAGTTGATACAGTCTGGGATTAAAGTTTGTTACAAGTCAATTACTTTGTCAAAGCTTCATAGAATTTTATGAAACTTTGGCAGAACCTTTTTTATGATTAAGAGATATTGTCTGAAGCAAACTTTTGAAAATATATTCTTTTCAATTTCAGTTTTTTTTCTGATAGATAGACTTAGTTTTTGACAGTTAACATTTACAGGGATTAAATTTTTTTGACATGATAAATTTGTAAACCTTCATCGATTGTTATGAAACTTGGACAGAAGCTAGTCTTCAATAATAAGAAACAGCATCTAAAGAAAATTTAATCTTTTTTTTTTTAAATTTCTGTATTTTACTGATAAAAGTCAATATTACACTTTTACACTGACAGCAGCAATGGTAGGCGAGACACTGGGTTCCGCCAAAACCCCTTACGAATTTTTGTATAATCAACTTTTACTGTTTTCAACCCAGATCCCTGAAACCTCACAGAAAGATGGTACATAGGTTGAAGCTGTGCACCTGCTTTTATAAAATTGTTTAAAATATATTACTCATTTTTTCCAGATTAGGAATGTACTCCTTTTTCATCAAAATTAACATCAGACAGTACTTATTTGTGAAACTTCTACCGTTTTAAACCAAGATCAATAAAACTTTGCACAAAGATTGCACACATGTTGAAGTTGTGCACCTGTTATTATAATTGAATTGGGGTTTTTTTACCCATTTTTTTATCCAGACTTTGGAACTCATATTTTAGAATTTACAGAATACAGTACCTATTTTGTGTAATGAACTCCTCCCACAGTTTTCAACCCAGGGAAAAACACATCTATTTAAACAAAACTCTTGTGTTTTTGATTTGAAACTGTAATTAGACCACTAACATTGACAGTAGCCAGATAATCTTGATAAGATATCTGGTAACCCAGTTATCGAAAAAAATAAAGGATATAGACCTGTAAGTTGATAGTACACTAAAATCTGATTTTTTTTATGTAAAAATATAATGAGGAGCATTTATGTTACTTCAATCTTGTCCTGACATTTGGTAATTAGACAAATTTTCACAGTATGTTTTTATCAAGCATGTAATCAAGAAGAACTTTTTTTAGTCATATCAAGTTTGTTTGGCAGCTGTCTAAATCTTTTACAAATCCACAAATATCAGATATATCAATTTTAACAATGATCAGAACATCAAATTCTGTCTCACATCAGTGACACACATTTTTTTGACATTTTGAAGTTTTTTGTCAGAAACTGTTATATGTTGAAAGCCTTCTGGTAAAAAATGACATTGATTAGAAAACAGTAAACGGTTGAGGAGGAAAGAATTCAGCTGTCAAATCTAACTTTAGTATGAACATTCAAAAAGCTAACAATAATTTGAATAAAATGTTGTCCTCCACATTAAGTTTTATAAAATATTGATAGAAGGTAAATTAATACCAACCACTACATATTAACAAATTGCATATTCACACAGTATAATCAAATATATTAAACAACAAATTGCACATTCACACAGTATAATCAAATATATTAAACAATGTACTGATTTATATCCATTTTTCTATTGATCCAAATGATTATTGTTGTCTAGAATTATCTCCCTTTGACAACCAGTCTAGAATATCTATAAATGTCAACAAACTTTCATTGTTAAAGTCAATTGAAAGCATTAACCTTATTTGGTTTTAAAAGAATTAAGAAGAGTAGCATTTCTTGATGCACATTTTTTATGCTCCAACTTAGTATACATGTTCCCTATGATATGATCTTTCTAATTTTAATGCCAAATTAGAGTTTTGACACAATTTCATGGTCCACTGAACATAGAAAATGATAGTGCGAGTTGGGCATCCATGTACTATGGACACATTCTTGTTTTATATGACTTATATCAAATACCGAATAGTCAATCAGGCCTCATTTCCATGTACCTGTTAGTAGTTCCATTGTGAGTAATTAGGTGTTATATGTTAAAAATTCAAAAAGAGCAAATAAATCTTATGAATACATTTAGGAAGAAATAAGAGAGAAACACATTTTTTTATAACTGAACATGCCCATCATTTCATGTTAAGGTAATTTTGCCTTATCACTTCAGTTATAATTTTTTGGCAAAGAAGCCATCCATTATATCAGTGTGTTTCCATCTATATATCTCTCTTGAGATGTATATATTTTTCTAGTCTTATCATATAATTTTGATGTAGAGAGTCTGTAAAATCGTATCCAAAGGATGTACTAGATACTATCTGACAGTACATTGATTCATTTAGTTTTATAGCTCGGGAAGGTTGAAAAAAATAAGATATAAAAAGATAGGTGGTATTGTACTTAAGAAAACTTATACTCATGTCAAAAAGTTAATAAAATATCCACTATTAATAAATTCTCAATGCTAACACCCAGTCTTAGGACCTCAATATATTTCCAATTTAACCTCAGCATGAAGTAAAATGAAAAAGTATCTAGTATGTTAATTTGAAGACAATATTATGATTGATAGTAAATATAGATTTTTATAAGTCATAGTTAATAAGCTGCTCCTACAGTTTGTAATATCAGTTATAATTTGAACCCATTGAAATGATTATTGACTCGTTATAACAATACATACCATGTCTTTCATATATTTTGTGATGTTAAAATTATTCTGTAAATGATAAGAAGCCAAGGTTTTTTTCAATAGTAGAAAAGGAGTAGGTCCAGTAAGACCCCTTTTTGGCCCCAAAATATAGCAGTTTTACAAAAGTGTTAAAATTTAAACTTTTAGCTATTTATTGGAAAGTAGAATACTTCTGTTACATAAATATGGGCTGTTTTTGACAATACAATGCACATGTATCGGGTACTAGCATCATAAAGTCAAGCTAAATTACTGAAACCTTCACAATTTTAGCATTTGAGTTAAATTTTAGATGGTTTCCGTCTTAAATGGAAGTGGCCGCATTTGTGTTCATTCTTGATATTTAAATGTAAGTTGTATTTGATGATAATACATAACATATATAAAGGTTGTGAGTGAACACGGATTCGGCCACTTTCATTTTTGACAAAAACCATCCGAAAAGTGACAGATTATGGCATATTTGCTAGATTTTTCATACTTAAACTTGAATTTGATCGTCTTTAATGACTAAATAAGTTCAAATCTTTCACATAAACTAATTGAATCGACTGAAGTAGACACATAAGTGTTTAAAAAGTGTCCAAAATCTTTCATCAGATGAACTTGAAGTTTGAGGCCAAAATAGGCCCTTAACGGACCTACTCCTTTAGCATAATATTTTAAACTTTTGTTCATAGTGAGGAATACTTTGCTCATATTTAAGTTTATTCTGCCATCTATTTTACGTACACAAAGTAGTCAGAAAAGCTGGAGACAAGTAAAGGAAAATTACAGATCTTTGTACTGTTGATTCAGTATTATTCGTGGGATACACTTTTTTGTGTATTTTATGGACAAAGGTCATACACAAGTTTAAATGTGCAACGAAAAAAACAAATATTGTAAACAACAAGAACAAATATCAACGAAAATACAAAATTTGTTCAATCCACCAATAAATTAGTATCCACAAAAATAAAGAATTCAGTATGTAAAATGGTATGGTAATAAAAGGATATTTTTAAAGTCTGACACTGTACAATAAAATATACTATCCTTTTGTTTTTATAGTGAGAAGAGTACCTCCTCATTTCACCCTGCCACCAAAGAATGTAGAGATCAATCCCTACACAAATGTTAACCTGACCTGTGTTGCTGTGGGGTCACCAATGCCAAAGGTCAAGTTCCGTGCTGGACCAATAGAGTTAACCCCAGAAGATGAGGAGCGCATAGGATCCAATACATTGGTACTGATAAACATCACAGAGAGCAAGAACTACACATGTGTTGCTTCGTCTGAACTTGGAAATATTGAACATGTTGTACAAGTCAAAGTTAAAGGTGAGGCTTTTGTTACAGAGAGCAAGAACTACACATGTGTTGGTTCATCTGAACTGGGGAATATTGAACATGTGGTACAAGTCAAAGTTAAAGGTGAGGCTTTTGTTACAGGGAGCAAGAACTACACGTGTTGCTTCATCTGAACTTGGAAATATTGAACATGTTGTACAAGTCAAAGTAAAAGGTAAGGCTATTGTTACAGAGAGCAAGAACTATGCATGTGTTGCTTTGTCTGAACTTGGAAATATTGAACATGTTGTACAAGTCAAAGTTAAAGGTAAATCTATTGTTACAGAGAGCAAGAACTACACATGTGTTGCTTCGTCTGATCTGGGGAATATTGAACATGTTGTACAAGTCAAAGTTAAAGGTAAGGCTATTGTTACAGAGAGCAAGAACTACACATGTGTTGCTTCATCTGAACTGGGGAATATTGAACATGTTGTACAAGTCAAAGTTAAAGGTAAGGCTATTGTCACAGAGATCAAGTATTACAAATGTGTTGCTTTGTCTTGAACATGCATGCTGAACTAGTCAACGTTATGACTGTTGTTACAGAAAGCAAGTACTACACATGTGTAGCATTGTATTGAACATGTTGTAGAAGTCAAAGTTAAATGTATATCACATGTGTAGCATTGTCTTAAACATGTAGAAGTCAAAGTAAAGGTATTGACTTAGATAAACCTTACAATTATGATAAACTAAATGTTTTTTCTTTGTCAATTACTGAGTGTTGTATTTCTTGTCATAATAAAAAATGATAGAAGTATGTTGTCATCTGGAGCAAAACTGTAGCAAATTAACATGGGAGTCAGAATCACAACTACCCAAGCTATTACAGAATACAAATAACACTTATATCTCAAGCCCATTGACCCCATGCTGTTATTTTATGAACCTTTTTCCCTAATCTGTTTCTTTGATGAAAGTTATAATGGAAGTTTTCAATATTTATCTCTATAATTTATCATTACATAAATTTGCCAAATAAATAACCATGATAACAGATACTAATCTCTTCTTATGATTTTCTTATCTTCTCGCTTTCTTAAGTCCATCTCTGTTTCATGATTTACAAATGTATCATATAATTGTAAATGCATGTTTATGAAGTTACTCCTTGTTTGAAATGATGTAAACAGAAAAGGGAAGGGGACGTCTATTTTGGGATAATAGTATTGTTTTTTTATTTTTGTAATACAGAAGGCTTGTATTTCTTATTAAAATGTTAACCAATCTGGGATATTTCGTTATTAAGCATTTAGCCAATTATTTCTAAAGATAACTTAAAAATTTTCCAAAAGATTGTCTAGTTGCATTGCACTTTGTATATTTTTGTTTTTCATTTTCTGGTGTTATTAATAGACAGAAGATGTCTTGGTTTTTCACTTTGTTGATTGCTGTGAAAAACATGTAAACCCCACATCTTCTTCTTTTCATTATGGATCAAAGGTTTTTTTGGTTCCTTTATTTCACATACTCTAGGATGTGATGTGAAGTAAGGGAGGGTATGGTCGTTAAACATTGTCTTATTTATAATATTAGTATAATGGTGGTTGTTGTGGAAGAAGTTCTAGTTGTGTTATTGGTCCATTAGAGTATCTGAGATACCAATCAGTAAAGTAATAATTAAATTTGCTGAAAGAGACAAAATGTGGCCTTAAGTTATTGCACTACAATTTGAACTTTTAATTTTATTTTCATTAATATATTGTTAATATCATTCAGACATTGTCATCTTGGTAGAATAACTATGATGAAATGATAACACTATACTGATTTTCATGTACTGGTGCAAAGGTCAGAACCTTGTCAATTCAATGCATACCAAATGACCTTGATGTTCAAGTAAAAAGGTTAAAAGACTTTGACCAGTTGAAGGGTCCAGGTCAAACTTGGGAAAGAGATTTTGATAGCATGATCATCATAAGCTTGGTATACTTAATCCTTATGGGATTACTCTGTTGGTTTTCAAGGTCAGATATCAATGGTCAAGGGTCCATCTCAAATATGGTCAACATGGTATACTTTAACCTTATGCAAATGATATTGAATTTGAGGGTCAATTGTCAAAGGTTAGGATGAAAAAACTTTCAAACAATTAAACTTTAAATGGCTTTTAACTTGGTACAATCAACAAGAATAAAGGAAGCAGTCTTTTACTTTCCATCCTTTGAATTAAATGATTTTGCCCCTCTACAGGATTATATTTGGTATGTTGCTTTAATGTCAAAACCATATATCCACATTTGTTGTTCAATTGTTAAAAGTCATGATATATTTCAAACAATGCAAAATTGTCATGTTTAAGTTCCGTGTTTAAGTTCTGTTAGTTTCTCCCACCTACATAAGATTTTTTTCAGTTATTATAGAAAGGGTATTAATATAAAATAAATAAAAAATCTACATATTTACACGAATGAAAAATTACAGGGCATGTTCAAAATTATATAATCATTAATAGCAACTCACGAACAATCATTATAGTAAAGGTCACAAGAGAGTCATTTTTGTCACTCTTAAAAACATTTAAAAAGATGAGGTAACTATTTTCGGATGATTAGTTTTGTTGTGGGAAGAATGTTTGATTTAAGCAAATAACAAATAAGTAAATGTTGTTTTTGCATGTAAAAAAAGTCCAATTATCTGTTTGATAACATCTTGTGTTATTGTTTGAACACACCCATAAAGTTTTTATTATTTCTGTACAAATAAATAGAGTCTTATAGATTGGTCCTATTGAAGTGTACTATTATACTTTTATAGCTTGTCATGTGGTATGGGTTTTGCTCATTGTTGAAGGCCATACTGTGACCTGTTTTTGCTGATTTCTACGTCATTTGATCTCTGGTGAAGAGTTGTCAACTCATTTGCATTCATACCACATCTTCTTATTTTTATATTACTCTGTTTTTCTACAAGTACAATAATAATTCTTCTTGATCTCTTTGAAAAATGCTAGTGTTTGTAGAGGTTATTTAATTCTTTTTCCATTGAATACACTCCTAAATTTAAAAACAGATTTAGAAACATACTGGGAAAAATACATAGAACTGATTACTGAAGATAATTTTGTAATTTGTAAAATTATCATCCCTACACTAGACTGTCAATAATTGGAAATTATGTTTCAGATTGATCTGATTCTCTGCAGTGTTTTAGAATTAATGTTCTAGCTTCAGGTACTCAAGCTTATTCAGAAGTGGATTTTATTTAAATTAATCCATTGCCATTAGGGAATACCTTTCTCTATGAAAACATCGGTAGATTTCAATGAGGCGGATATTCCAATCAGTTCTGAAAGGCTTCTATTTTCATATTGGAGGATATTTTCTTAATTATTTTGCTGCTTTTATTTTTGTTGGTTTATCTTCTTTATTGGTTTAAAAATGCATCAATGAAAATATCCATAATATATTGGGTAGATATTAATTTTTGCAATTTTATGGAATAACTATCAGATTATTTTTGAATAAATTATAGTTTTTTTTTAAACTTGGTGCTCCTGTTGCATTGTTTACTCTCTATGGATTTATATATTACTGTTAGAATCTAATGAATTTCATTTATCATCCTGGAAAAAGACAGAACTTTTGATTAGCATCAAAAACCCATCTTTGAACTATGCTTTAGAACATGTACCTTAGCGTTGCTTATCAGCAGAAAAACTTTGATAAAGATATTTTCAACCTTAATGTGAATGTTGTTCATTAAAATTCTCAGTAAGTGGTAGAGTTTCATCTTGCAGAATTTTATACACCTTTATCAGTGAAACAGGTTCTTTTTTGAATCCTTATCTATAAGATCCGAGAGATAGTAGAGGTAGCTTTAACATACTTAGGCTAAATTAGCCTGCTTGCAAAAACAAAGATTTCCTGAGTTTTAAACTCTGTGTAGATTAAGACAGTTAGAAGCATGGTGTGTTGTTATGGAAACACTGATTAGGGATGATGGAGTAACCTACTGACCCACCAATCAACACCAGGGATTTTGTCACATGATAAGATTCTACTTTGAGACAGAAATAGCATCCACACATAGGAAGTGCATGTAGTAGATGGACAATCTCTGATTGAATACACATATTGGAATTTTAATTGATATTCAGCAGTGAGAAAAGGATAATTAGAATTCTTTAATTAATTTGGATGTTTAGTTGTGATAGTTATGTTTAATGATGGGTGATTGTATAATGTCAGGATAAGATATTTGTGAAGTTTTTATTATTTCCTCCGTCTTTTGTTCAAATCATGAAGTTTCATAGAACTTTTCTGGCTTTCTATTCACTTTTGACTTTGTTGGCCACTGGAAATTTGGCCGAGATTCCAAATCCACCTGTTAATTTTAATGTGGTGGATGTTGGTCCAGGATTTGTCAAATTATCATGGACGCCAGTGCCAGGGGACAAAATAGATTATTACAAACTACAATATAGACAAAAGGGGGATAGTAGTAGTATATTTTCAGAAGAGAGAATACGTGTACCTGCTCACAAGGTCCGTAGATTGACACCATTCACCGATTATGAATTTCAAGTGATTGCAGTTAATTCTGTAGGTGAAAGTCGACCAACAGATATCGTAGAAAAAAGAACCAGTTCATTAGGTTTGTATATATGTGGTTCTTATAAGTGTCCATATTCTAAACATTTTGTAACAGATTTATTATTTCTTCCCATATTAGCAAAGGGACTCTATTTAAAAATCACTGTTATTAAACTTTTTCAAATGAAGGATATAATCTGCATCAATATCAGATTTAAATATGGAAAAGGTTATTATGATGTTTCTTAAAGTTGGATCTTTTTCCCTGTATTTTATAACCATTATTTTCTTCTCTCTTTGCTCTATTTTTAAGTATAGTTAGATTATTGTTAGGAAATTCATGTTTACTTGAATGCTTGACCACATGTTGCAAAAAAGTAAACAAATGATATTTTGATTTTGTGTAAATATCAAATATAAATAGCTTGGTGAATGTAAGTTATAATTCATGAG